TCCGGCCCCGTCCCCGCAAGGTGCTCGGCGAGGCGGTTTGCAATGACTCTTTCAAAGAGCTTGCCCACCTCGTCGAGCAGCACCACGGGCCGGTATGCGGACGGAGAGTCCGCAGGGCGCCCCGGCTTCCGAATGAGGACCAGCTTCCCCGTCTTCCAACGAAGCGGGAATTGGTCCTGGGGCGGTATTCCTGGCCTTGAGCCTACGTACCGCCACTCTCAGGTCTACCCCGGTCCCTTACGGGATGTCGTCGTCGTCGTCCTGTTGGTCCGCTTCCGGCACCGCAGGTAGCGGAGCCATAGGCGGGGACGGATGTTCCCCCTCGCGCAGGGAACAGAGCGCTCACCACGTCCTCCACGAGCTGGGGCCTGTGACTCTGCGTCAGCGGGGGGGGGCCAGGTGCGGAGTTTATCCCGCACCATCTTGTAAGGGCGCCCCCACGGATCTCTGTCGCGAGTCTCTAGCATCTCCTCACGGGCCCGATCTCGGGCCCGCAGGACAGCCTCTCGGAGGGCGGTCTTCGCCGCTCTGTATCCCTCGTATATCTACGCCTCAATGGCTGCCGAATTCGGTGGACGAATGCGGAGCCTGCGATGCCTGGCGTACAGGTGCCGCGCGGCGACACACGCCTCGCGCAGAGACGTCTGCTCACGTGACCACCAATACACCTGACGCCGGGCGCCTCCTGGCCGGACGCGGGGCATTGCCACGTCACATATCTCGGACATGATCTCCTGGAACCACCCTGCCTCGTCATTGACGTCGGCAGGCCTGTCCGGGGATGACACCCAGGCCTGCACGATCGAGGCTTTCAGGAGGAGCTCCCGGTCCAGCTGCTTCAGTGCCCAACGCGGACCACTCGGGGCCTGTTGGACTGGCGCGCTCGAGGGCTGGGTGGAGACGTCAAACCGGATGTACCGGTGGTCGGAGTAGGTCTCCACCCCCTCCATGATACGCCAGTCAATGGCACGCGGCGACAGAGCGGGGCTAGCGAACGAGATGTCCACCACCAAATCGCCCCGCATCCGCACACACGTGGGGACAGAACCCCGATTTAGGACGACCAGGCCTGTCTCCAGAGCCCAGTCTTCCACCATCCTACCCCGCACATCTGTACGACGAGAACCATAAGCCAAGTTCTTGGCATTGAAGTCCCCGAGGACAAGTACGGGGAAGGGATAACTTCCGACGACGACTGCTCTCAGCTCTGCAAGGGAGTTTTGGATCGATCGCGAGAGATCGGTTCGGGGAGAAGTACACCCCCACAACGACGAACTCCCCGAACCGTGCTGCTACGCACCCCTGACCCTTCCTGACATCTTCAAGGGTCGGGGTACCGGCGGCGGCCGAAGAAATGATGGCCACTGAGCCATTAAGGTCCGCCACCAAGTCCTCCCCTAGGCAAGACAAAATATGCTCTGGAGCAACAGATCCTGAGCGCAGGCGCAGTGGTTGATATTCGCCTGGAGGAAGCTTAATGGGGCCGTTATAGGCATTCCATTTCAGGCCACAGAGGCGGTGGCTGCGGAGGGCCCTCCCGCGACCCGCGGCCTTGGCCTTGGCGGGTGGCACGCAGGCCTTGCTTCCGGCCCGGTGATCGGCTGGCTTGCCGATCGCCGCACATGCATCACAGTGCGGCGTGGCGCAGCAGGTCGCCGATATGTGTCCGGGCTGACAGCAGCGGAAGCAAAGGCCACTGCGGTCAACCTCCGAGGCGCATCTCACTGATACGTGGTGCCCCACGAGACAGCGATAGCACCTCAGAGGTCTGGGCTCCAGCAGCTTAACCTGCGCTGAGACCCAGTCCACCAGAAGCCTTCGGCCCTCCACTATGGTTTTGGCCGCCGTAACAGGGCAGCACACCGTGGCGGCATGCATACCCTGTTGGTCCGGGCGTATGGCGCCTGACCTGACCTGGTCAGTAGTACACCCCCGGACCTGGTGACGGCGGCCATCAACTCCTCCTCCGATACCGAGTCGTCCAGACCCATAATGCGCAGGTCTGCGTATCTGACGGGCCTGGACACTTGGGCCTCGTCCGCGTCCAGAGACGCTCTGAGCTTCGCAGCCAGAGCGTCCGCGGTCGCGCCACTGGATTCCCCGGGGACCTCCAGCATACGGGCCCCCGTCTGGGTGACTTTGAGCCGGAGGCCCCCGGTGATCCCGAGCTCCCCGAGATCCACCGCCTCCTTCGCCTTCGCGAGCAGATCGCGGTAGGTAACGCCCTTCTTTTCCGCGTCCGGCTGTAGTGTAATCACTACAGCTGCGGTCTTCGGGGCGCGGAGCCTAGCCCCGATCTTGCGCGCCCTGAACTGGCGCTGCCGCTCCTGCTCTTTGGCCTTTTTGGCTGCCTTCTTCCCCTTCTTTTTGTCCCCGACCACCTGCCAACCGGCTTCAGCCGCAGGAGGTGTAGGGAGCTGGGGGGCGGTGACGGCGGCGGCAGCTGGCTTGCTGCTGGCGCTGGCACATTCGCCGCAGGCACTGGGGCTGGTGCAGCCACCACCTGTGCTGCCGCCTTGCCCTTTTTCGCCTTCGTCTTGCCTCTCTTTCCCGTCGCCGGCTTAGCCGGAGCCGGTTCAGCGGGTACCGGATTTGCCGCAGCCGGCTTTTCAGGGGGGAGGGGCAACTGCAGCCCTGCCTGGGGCTGGCTGGACGGCCCCGGCCTGGATGCGGCAGCCGTGGCCGCCGCGTACGAGACCGTTGCCGGCCTCGCCGCCGTCTTGTTTGCCCCTAGGGGGGCGCAGGACGATGCCCTCCAGCACGGAGAACCGGTGTTGGAAGGCAGCCAGCTCCTGTTGGACCAAGTTCAGAACCTGGTTCCCTACCAGCACGGGCTGGCTTGGGCGCTGCGTCTGGGGCGCCGCGCGAGAGGCAGGCTCACGTAGACTGGCCAGGTCTGCGCGGAGCTTCTCATTCTCCTTCTGGAGAGTCTCCATGGCGGACGTCAGGCGGACGTCAGGCGGGCCACGTCCGCCCGCAGCTTCGCCACCTCGTCCGCATTAGGCCCGGCCCCAACAAAGTTGGCCTCCGCAGCCGCCATGATGGAGGCGGAGGCCCCGGGAATGGCCTTGAACTTCGAGGAGGGCTTTTGGTTGTAGGCCAAGACCTTGATCGCGGCCTCCACCTCCTTTACGAATCTGGCCTTACGCTTCACCTCGGAGCCGCCAGTCGCACTCGTCTCTTCGCCTGATACCCGAGCCGTATCGCCCGGGTGGCGCCCCTCCTCGGCAAGCTTTGCCGCTCGTTCGGCCCTCTGATTGGCATTCCCCTTGCCTCTCAGCCCGCCCCGCCTGTTGGTGGGGATTTTCCGGGCCGAAACCTCCTCTTCACCGGATGACGGCCCCTGGTCGCCATCCCGCCTGGACCGCTTGCGGAAGAACTTACTGGTCTCCGCGGTCCCAGGTCCCACGCGTCGGGAGCTCTCTGGGCCTCCCACGCTGCTCGATGCGGCGTCGGACTCTGTCCCCGCATCGTTCCTCCTCTCCTCTACGTTGCCGTTGCCGGCGGTTTTGGTTTTTTGTGTTTGGTTTTCCATTTTTTTTGTACCCACGAGTATGGGGGAATTAAAGGTCCACCTTGGCAGAGACCCCTGTACCAAGGTAAACAGATTTAGAGGATTTATTACTCGCCAGGGGGTCTGCAGGTATCCTGGCGAGGAGCGCACTAGCGGCTGATTTGTTCATAGAACCCAACCAGTTACCAGCCAGTTAGGCCACCCAGTCAGCCATCCATCCCCTCGCGGAGCGTCACCGCTTGGGATTCGGAGTAACTTTTTATAGAGGTTTTCTCCCTCGCGGTCCGGGCGATTAAGCCAAGACCCTCGGACCCTATCAAAGCCGCGAGACTTGATCCACGACGCTTCGATACTGGGATTACGAGACCGGCGGTGACAGCAAAGGATGAATCCTTCACTGTCTGCCCGGAGGCAGGGTAAGTGCACACCGAGCCCGCCCTCACTCCTCTGCTATGCCCTCTGCTGATCAGAGGGTCACGCAGAGGAACGCACTGTTGGTCCGGGACGGACCCCCCCCCCCCCATGTCAGAATAATTAGCCGTGGCAGCAACATTCCCCAAGGAATAAGAATTTCTTCTCATTTCTCGAGGAAGACTACCGCCGCGCCCAGGGTGCACCGGCCCAGTAGCTGCTCTTCCCTCCAGACGTATCGAGAGGGACCCGCAACTACCAGGCACACGTGGAGGACTTCTGAATTCGCACCCCTAGATAAAATCCTTGCATCGGACATATAATGTTACTTTATTTATTGAATACACCAGTACCTACAAACGATTGAAAAAATTGACAAGTGTAAGAACTTTTCCACAAGCCTTTAATATGTACGGTTCTATGCACTCACCATACGAAACACAGTTGCCGATACTTTGTTGGCAGTGGGGTAGGGAAATCTGGTGATTCTGAGTGCTTGAATTTCCTTGTCCTGAGGCCTCAATTGGGCTCAAGGGGAAGACTGAGGCTTTGCGCATTTGAAGTTGGAGGCCGTGCCTGGTCGTCTGGTGCACCATACCTGAACATGAGAAGAAGCAGGGGGAACAGAAATCCTATGAAGGTGCGAAAGCATTCCCGTGGCCCTGCCAATATGAAGCGAAAGTTGAACACCTTGAGGTTTTAGTCGATTCCAATCTGACATAACCCGTCTTTGAACCCACGAAGCAAGTAAACGTGGAAATTTCTCCATAAAAAAGTTATCATCCAGGTAAAACTCACAGCAATAATTTAAAAAAAACTACATTAATTGAGCACGTGCCTATTTAAAAGGTGGAAAATTTGCAACATCAAACTAATTGTTGATTGATTGAAATTAAATCGATTACAGTGGCAATTTCACTATTAATCAAATTGGGAAAGAAGCGTTAATCGAATGATGATTCGGATTTCGTACACGGTTACGTATAATGTAGTCATTATTAAAAATTATACATGGACATGATTTAGGACTTATATTAAAGTCATTGACTAAAAGTGACTCAAAGAGAGAATCATCATGAAGTGGTTAATCTTCTTCGGTATCTGCGTAGCTGTTGTTCTAGCAGCACCAGCAGTGAGTTACACTTTGGTTTTTATTCTTACTATTCTAATTATTTTAAGTAATGTACTGATATTTCATAGTATTTAAACAAAGTCACAAAATTACAAAAATTATCACAAAAGAAGCAATGAGCTGAATAATTGACAGTTTTGCACAAATTCTCCAGATTAGAACCCAGGTCTTAATATCTATTAGCAAATAGTACTGTAATAACGCTTCAATCAATAAAATTATTTTTATTAATTGAAAGTTGTTTTAATAATCACCATGCCTTTGAGGTAGGGTTTGCGGAGCTGTAGTAAGCCCAGCTTCCTACTGAATTGAAGGTGACTTCACTGAGTTATTTTTATATCTAGATATAAAAAGTCCATATACGTCAAACTGCTGTGTTCTTTATTTATGCAGGTAGCATGCGGTAGTAAAAAAAACCGGCCAAGAGCGTGTCGGGCCACGCTCAGTGTAGGGTTCCGTAGTTTCCCGTCCGTCACAATAAGTGTTCCCACTTATGAGTTTAAAGGTGGGTATCCATTATGTTCGCGTCCACAGCGCTCGCGCTCCTGCAACTGCTCCCGGTAGTGGGTACTGTTGTTTCCATCCAAGTTCAAAATGATTTTCCTAGAAAGTCCTTATAAAGTTCTACTTTTCAGATTTTTTTCATATTTTCTTAACTTATGGTTCAAAAGTTAGAGGGGGGGACACATTGTTTTTTACTTTTGGAGCGATTATTTCCGAAATTATTGGCATTATCAATAAATGATTTTAGTAAACCCCTATTCATTTTTAAATACCTTTCCAACAATATATCACACGTTAGGGTTGAAATTAAAAAAAAAACCTCTTCCCACTTTACATATAGGGGAGCTATCCTAATAAAACATTTTTTTCCAATTTTTATTTTACCACTTTGTCTGCGTGATTGATACACATATTGGTACCAAATTACAGCTTTCTAGTGCTAACGGTCACAGAGATTAAGCGAGGACGGACAGACGGACAGACAGACATGGCGAAACTATAAGGGTTCCTAGTTGACTGCGTAACCCTAAAAACACCTCAAAAATATTTCTTTAGTTTAGAAAAAATAATTCAAATAGCTATTTCATCGTCATCATCATTACAACCCATCAAAGTCTGATACCTGTCTTCCAATAGATCACCTAATAAGAGCGATAGAATAGAATGGAATGAAAACGAAAGACGTGTTATGACGTGGCGACGTTTTATACGTGGTAGAGTCATGCTGTAGTTATATTAGTAGTATAGTTGTAGCTCGCATGGGTCGGCTCAACCGGGGAAGGAACACGCTCTCACAGAATACCAGCGTAAAATAGTAACTTAATGCTGCTGTGTTTCGCATGGTGAGTGTAGAGAACCGGAGACCCTTTTTACTGAAAACGAGGCATTTCAGCTTAGTCCTCACCAGTGACAACGCATCTGCACTTGATTTGTAATAGAGGATAGATATAGATGTATATGGACCACTGCAACCACTTACCATCAGGTGGACTATGTGTTAGTTTTTTGCCTTATCCTACAAAATAAAGAAATAAAAATAAGACTAATTTTTGTTCATTTTTACAATAATACAAACTGAAAGTCTTTTGTGCCTCTTCCACAGGATCGGAAAAAATCTTTGCCTATCCGTACGGGAAGAGCAAGCAAAATTTCCAGTGGAATATTTTTTAGATATTAATTTACGATATAAAATGATTTACAATAAAAAATTTATAAACAGCGAGCAACCGTGGTTCGATTCCCGCCGGTACCATTGTTATTGCAGTTTTAAGTATTGATTTACCACATGCTAGGCGGCATAGGAAATAATCGTGAGGCAACCTGTATGTCTAAAGTTCTTTAAAAATATATATTCCTAAAAGAGATGTCTGCAAATCGATACAGCCTTTACGTAGATTCCTCTCAGAAATTAATATGTAAATAGACTGTAACTTCACTTTACATTTTAACTTATTTTTTATTGTTTAAGTAAGTTGAAACTGAACTGAAAATAGTTTTCTATCTTTACAGCCTTATCCACAGGAGGACGGCGACGACATAGATATTCAGGTATTTAATCCTTAATATTATACTATAACTCCTTTATATCATACGGTCTCCACTTAAACGATACTATCATATCCTAGCTCATATCGTTAAACTTAAAGGAAAAGTCGGAGTGGAGTACGGCGAGAAGTGATAGCGAGATAGCATCGTCTGTAGCAAACAATTTAAATGGTCGCCACTCAGAAACGCTGTGTTTCAACCGTGTGTCACACTACTGCCTACATATTACATGTCAGAGCTATACTGTGTCTTAATAACTGCAGAACCTATGATGGCACAAACAGGAAATAATTCAGCGCGCACCAAACTACTTTACTGGGTGGTAGATCTCCTTGACTGATTTTGAGTCTCTTACCTATTCCTATCTCCAAATAACAGTACTTACACTGCTGTATTCCGATCTGAAGGATATACTCGTATATCTGAGAGCAAGTATAATTACAGGTTGTACGGCATTCCATTTTAGTTTAAAACTGGCTGCAGGTGTCCTTTGACTGTAGTAGCCAACAGGTGGAGTTTAAGTTCATTTGTTTCATCCGTATTATAAAAAAAAACAGAACCCCATGTGAAATAGTAGGATAACGCTGTTGTGTTTCGAATAGTAAGTAAAACAGGAAAGTTTTTGTATCGATAAGGCATTCTATCCTAGCCTTCCGGGATGATAATGTATCTGCATTTTGAGCCATAATGGAAGATACATGTGGGCGTCCATAAGAAATAGCATTTACTTATCGTTTATAACATGGCTTGTGTGCTCGTTTGTCATTTTACACTTCTAAAAACCCCGGTGTACAGCGTGGACGGGACAGGCACTTATGCCGTATTGAATAAAAGAACTATATTTTTCACTGTTAATCACAAACCTTCTCCCGTGACTGAGATCTTGTGAACAGGAAAAGTCCACCACACTGACGCAATGCGTGGCGGAGACTCCACAGGTTTTTATGTGATTTTATACGTGGTATTTCCACGCTGCAGCTTCATTATAGTTGTATCTCGAAGGGAATGGATCAAGCTCGCACAGAATACCGGCGTAAAATAACAGCTTAACGTTGCTGTCTTTTGTATGATGAGTCTAGAGACGCGAAGACCCGTTTTGCTGGAAAGGAGGCATTTTATCTTACTTCTCGAGGGTTACAACGAATCTGCATTTTGATTCTGAACCGGCGGCCCTCAGCGTCATTCATCATTTCATTGCTAAGCCATGCGCCATTGCGCCGTCATAGTCGTCGTTAAGACAAAACGAACATTTTAGACATTCCATGATATCTTATTTTATTTTAACTTTAAAAGAGAATCTTTAAAAGATATCAACTCTGAGTTAATTTGGTAAATCAAAGCCAACTCAAGCGATTTCTCTATGTACGAAAAAGATCATAAAACTGGAGGCCCTTAAAGATGTCAATGTCAGACGAGTTTTTTATAATAACGAAAATAAGGTAGATAATATCTCAAATAAAGATGAAAGTTAACAACTAACATTTATGTTTATCACCGTCCCACGTTTATTTTTAATTTACGTTATTATCGTGATCGGGGACTTATATCAAAAAATGTACCAATTGTGCTACTTGCGTTGCGTGTCGTAAAAGGGAACTAGCGGGATATTGAGTCTGTGATGAGGCGATAACCATTTATCTCTTCTAGGATAAACTTGACAAAGGAGCATACAGTCCACCTGATGGTGAGTGGTTGCTGCGGCGCATTGACATCTATATCTATCCTCGATTACGAATTAAAATGCAAATGCGTTGTCACCCGTGAGAACTAAGATGGAATAAAAGCCTAGTTTCCAGTAAAAAGGGTCTCCGGTTCTTTACACTCACCATAAGACATCCATTCCCGGTCGAGCCGACCCAATTGTGCTACAACTATACTACTTGTATATATATATAAAAAAAAAATAAAAAAAAAAAATAATGTAGCTGTAGCGTGGCTCTACCACAATTAAAACTATTATACATTCTGGCTACTAAAGCAAACAACATTTGAAATATATTTTCTATATAAGTTCTTAATAAACTTTTGTACTTTTTCAACAGAGTCGTCGGCGATACAAAGATGTTTACATAACGGTAATAAATTTTATAACATATCCCTCAAATCAATAACCTCAATAAAGCCCCCTTTTTAGGCATTAACGTCATTGCAGCATATTATCACAAGATCACTGCCTAACAAATGACTTCACTATTATAAAGTACAACCTTGATCTACCTACACTCTTACCTGATTACTATCTCAATAGATCATCTCGTAGCCGCTCTACAATGTAATGTGTCTTGTGAAGTCGTTATATAGTTTCGATTGAAATTATGTATATTTGAATTTATGTAATATTCTTGGCACTATTTGATAGAGAAGAAAATGCGTAACATATATTGCAGCGGCCGCTTTCAACTCTATTGTTGGACATAGACTTTTCAATAAAAAGTTGATGGCTCCGTTGTGCATCGACCTAAGCGTTACGTCACGGCGCTATAGGGCCGCCAATTAGAATACTGCACGGAAAAAGTGTTTGTATAGACTACACCCATTCTGTTGAGACCCTATTCTTGCTACAACTGTTACGTGATGCAGCTTGGCTCTACCACAATTATACCTCTACAATTAGACTCCTACAATACAGTAATAAAATGCTATATTTTGATTTTATTTAAAATAGCTTGTCGACGACCACGATCCCGGCCAGGTACGTATTCTTAAGGATTTAAATATTATAATTACATAAGTCTACTACATTTTAAATTTTAACCATCATCATCGTCATCACCGACAACTCAGTCTACTACTCCACTGCCGAACAAAGGTCATAGGTATGTCTTACCAGGTCGTCATTCCATCTAGTGGAGGGAAGCCCTACACGCCGCTTACCGAATAATCATTAATTATAGTTAATTATAATTAACACTAATATAATTTTAGGTATATACTTTAAAAGTAAAGTAAAGTAAAGTTACAGCCTATATACGTCCCACTGCTGGGCACTGCCTCCCCTCATTTATGAGAGGATTTTAGGGCAAGGAAGTGTACGCCGCGCTGCCCCAATGCGTGTTGGCGAACTTCACATGTCTTCGAAATATTTTTTTACTTATTCCTCAGACATGCAGGTTTCCTCACGATGTTTTCTTTCACCTCCAAGCACGTGGTAAATCAGCACTTAAAATTGCAATTAACAATTTCATTGGTGCCAGCGGGGATCGAACCCGGGTTACTCGCGTTCTGTTATATTTACAGCGAGCGTTAACCATCCGAGCTACCACGGCTCACTATATACTTCAAGTATATATTTATTAATTAAGTATATACTTAACGATACTGTGTCGTGCTGGTAACAATATTCTCTTCTCTTGTACTACCGTCTCTTGGGTGTCGTATGAGATGACAGAGAACAAAACGAGCCAGGAGATGGACATCATTGTGTTCCTAACATCATACAACAATGAGAAAATTTAAAAAACCTACAGTTAACGACCTTAGGAGGCAATCTTTGGGGAGGCCTATGTTCGGCAGTGGACTTGAGGCTGTAATAATAACGTAAAATAAACGACACGAAAGAAATTTACAAATGTTTTATTTTTATTTGATTTGATTACAGAGGAGCTGGGATCAAGGCGATAGCTATGTAAGTTCCTGTACACCAAACAATGCATAGCTATTCACAATCACTTAAAAATAACTTCATAAAATAATAATTAGAGTAAAGAAAGTTACTTTGAGGATTTTTCACCTGTCCGTACACATGTGTGTTATCCGATCACTTTATAGATTATAGGTGATAGACGAGCACGCAGTTTACTTGATGATAAGTAAATGCTAAGTCCCATAGACATCTACTAAATTTCTCAATTAAATATCTAAATGCGGATGCGCTGTAACCCCTGAGGGCTAAGACAGAATGCGTCGTTTACAATAAAAAGCGATGTCTGGTTCTCTAAATTGAAAACCATACGAAACACAGCAGAATTAAGCTGCTATTTTACGCTGGTATTTTGTAAGAGAACGGCCTGCCCTGGTCGAGATAAACGATTCGTGATACTTACATTATATAGCTGCGACGTGGCTCTACTACGTATAAAATCATTATACAAGAAATATTTATCATAATTACAAACTATATACTAATAAAACCAAGTTTTACTATATATTTGAGGTAGCACGTCTATACGTAGATACTGTTGCGAGCGTGGGGTTGGTAACAATATAAACTGCAGATTGAGTTACCAAAATTGACACTTTAATTACCGAACACCAATTACAACTTAAAACACACTAATAATTAATCACAATTACACTATTAATCACTTTTGTTCGCAGTTATATCGCTTCGAAGTATTCGCTTGCGTCGCCAATTTAATACTGACTCAGTCGCGGTCCTAATTGGCCTTATATAGGCCATCAGATGTTGAAACATCTAGAATGTTTGAATACATACCGGTCCCAACTGACTAGGTGTAGAAAGTTCTATTATAGAATTTTCGAAAAGGATTAAATCTGCTACTCAATACTAGATGGCGCTAGTGTCATGTACCAGACATTAATTATGGCGCGCAACAAACAACAACGCGCCTCCTAAGACTTGATCATCCCGAGCATTATCGGCCCCATAATAACGCGCCATCCGATCCACATGGACGATCTAAGGAGAACCTCTTGTACCATTCTGTATCCGGTAGGTTACGTCATTAATCCTTGTCACAATCCGGTACGGTCCGTTCCATTTAGCTTGAAACTAAGGAGATTTCCCTTTGCTGCGAACTGTATTGTGCAACCACACTAGAGAACATTCGTTGAACCCGTTGTTGTTCATTTTGCGGTTATACCGTGTTTTCATCCTTTCAGATATTTGCTGGCCCGATTGTCTGACGTGCTCATAAATGTCATTTTGTTCAGTAAGTCATTTGCATAATGGGTTACACTACGTGGGGCATCAGGTGGTATTCCGGTGATCAGGTCTGCAGGCAGCCGTAATTCTCTTCCAAAGTTAGCGAAAGCCGATGTCACAGATGTACTTTCGTGAACAGCGCTTCGATATGACGACAAAAACGATTGTATGTGCTTGTCTCAATCTTCTTGTCGATTTTCCATAACTTTTGCTAGGTACCTCACCACTGTCTGATTAAATCATTCTACCATTCCATCATAGATACCATTATGGGTGGTAAGAAGTTGTTCTTGTTTTGTGAGTACTCATAACTCGGCGAATTTCCTGGAATATTTGAGACTAAAAATTCTTTCCTTGATCGCTGTGAATCTCCAAAGGTACTCCAAAACGACAGAAGACTTTATGAACTAGTTTATTTGCAACTGTTGAAGCTTCTTGATTTGGAATGGCGAAGACTTCTGACCACTTAGTGAAGTAATCCATCACAACCATGAAATACTTATTACCACTTTCAGTTTCCGGAAACTGCCCAGCAACGTCAAGGGCTATCCTCTGCCATGGTGCACCAACATTACATTTATATAATTTATACAATTTCAATGCACCTCTACTACGAGGCTGAGGTCCCTTCACAGCCGCACAACTTGTACATTTGACTCGACTCGACATCGTTTCGACAGTGGACCCAGTAAAACCATTCTTGGGTCTTCAGTAGAGTTCGTTTAACTCGCAGATGGCCTCTTGAACCACCAGTATGATACAGTTGTAGAACATCCGGTACTTTAGCTTTAGGGACAACCATTTTCAAATAATAGCTGTCTCCCCTACCATTTTCCCATTTACGGCACAGAACTCCATCTTGAATTAGCAAGCTGTCCCATTGGGCCCAATAGCTGCAACGAAAAGATCTTTACTCGTACAGGCTAGCGGATCAGTAAAATAAAGTGACCATTTGCATGTCATATAGTTCAAATAATCGACAACTGGTGGAAAAGAAAGGTTCTTGAGTGACAGAGTGCCTAGTGACGAGCTGCAGTTGTAGCTTTTGAATTATCTTATCTAATCTCTCAATCTAATTATCTTATTTAAGTAAAGTAGAGATATTTTCATGAAATTCCAAAAAAAAATGGAATTTTTTTCCTTTCTTAAAAGTTTCTGCATCCACTTCTTAGAATTCTAATATAATAACTTTCGTAAATGTTCCACAGCACAATGATAACTATCGATACGACTATCAGCAGTACGCTGACGCCTTAAAGGTAAGTGTTCATCCATAATCTATATATATGCATTCATATTCTTATTTTTAACGTCACGATTTTCTCCTGTATTGTGGAGATAGTTTACATACATAAATAGCACACGAGCAAACATTTAGACCCGGAAGAATTATTTGTAGATCATACAAATATCTGATCCGTGCGGGATTCGAAACTACGACCCTCAGCGCGGCAACTCATTGTTAAGCCACTGCACCATGGAGTCACATTATATATTATATATTTCTTGTATAATCATATTATACAAGAAATGTTATAATATCACACTACCTCGATTAACCTCAGAAACAAAAATTATATATATATATATATATATATATATATATATATATATATATATATATGTGGGAGAAAGTTTATTTTTAATCTGTTTTTATGTTAGTTTTTAGTCATGGCATGGCAACATTTTTGGGTAGTCTGTGGTTACGACGATAAACATTGTAAAGAGGCTAAGCAGTTTTATTAAAGATTTTGTGTTTAATTCGACCATTCTTTTCTTCGACGATCCCACAACTATTTTGGGGGCTCGTCCGGGATCCAGAGAAGTATCAGTGTGGAAGAATTAACAACATTTACGAAGAAATCATCATCAAAATACCGGCAAGTAATTTGCCTAGCCTTTATCTCGTTTACAGATGTGGAGAAGTCAATGACGTCATTTAGTGGTGATGATTCTTACCCGATTTCAACATGGTTTGAAGAATTTGAACGACACGGCACTGTTGATGAGCTGGACGTGAAGTAGAAAAACTGATTTACGCGAAAAGACTCCTAAGTGGAACTGCAAAACTATTTCTACGATCGCTCGGAGGTGTAAAAGATTATTAAAACAAGAACTCGAAGACGAATTTAGATCTAAATTGAATAGTGCTGCCATACATAAAAAACTAAGTTCAAGAAAAATTAAGAAAGATGAATCTTACCAGCAGTATTTTCTCCATATGAAAGAATGTGCACTACATGGAAACATCGAGGATGCAGCACTTATGGAGTACGTTATTGATGGTATCCAAGACAGCGAATCTAATAAATATATTTTGTACGGAGCGTCAAACCTTAAAGAATTTAGAAAGAAATTAGATATTTACAAAAGTATTAAAGAAAAGACCCAGACTCGACTCGGTGTATCTACTCCATTTACAAAGAATAATAAAATAAAGCAATGTTTTAATTGCGGAGACCTAGATCATCAAGCCCCGACCTGTACGAATGGTATCAAGTGCTTCCGATGCAATGAATTTGGGCATAAGGGAACTCAGTGTAGCAACAAAGGTAAAAATACTTTAAATATTCAAAAGACTGAAACAAAAACTAAGGCTGATAAAGAACACAAAGAATTAGAAACTCCATATAAGAAGATAAAGATAAATTATGTCGAAATCACAGCATTAATTGACACTGGGAGTGACGTGAATTTGATAAAGTTATCTGAAGTTGAAAAAGTTATGACAGAAAAATTTATCTATGATGAAGAAAAATCGATACACCTAACTGGAATTGCTGGAAAAGAACTAAATACTGAAGGACTTCTGAAAGCTAAGGTTTTGATTGATGATTATTATTCTGATTTGGAATTTCACGTAGTACAAGATTATGCTATACCAATCAGTGTCATACTTGGAAATCCTATCCTCAAAGATTTTGAAATAAACTTTACTCGTGATGGTATTTTCCTTGAAAAGATTTCTTACCTTACACTACTAGCAGAAGAGAAGAACACTATTTGTGATGAACATTACCCTAAAACTAAAGAAATTGCAGATAAGATTACAAAACCAATTAAAGAACATAAAACTGATGCTAAAAAGAAGGAAAGTAACGTTGAGATGAAAATAATACTTACCGAAGAAGACCCGATTCATCAAAGTCAACGTCGATTGTCACCACTGGAAATGAAAGTTGTTGATGAACAAATAAAAGAATGGCTAGACCAAAAGATTATACGACCCAGCAAATCAGATTTTGCAAGCCCTGTAGTTCTAGCTAAAAAGAAAGATGGAACATACAGACTTTGTATAGATTATAGAAAGTTGAATAAAAGAATAGTGAAAGACCGATTCCCGTTACCTCTTATAGAAGATCAGATTGACAGATTGAAGGGTGCAAAAGTTTTCACGACCTTAGATTTGAAGAACGGATTTATGCATGTGAATGTGCATAAAAAAAGCAGGAAGTTTACGGCCTTTGTAACTCCGCAAGGGCAGTATGAACTCATGAAAATACCGTTCGGTATTTGTACTTCGCCGTCAGTATTCCAAAGATATGTCAACCATGTCTTTCAAGATCTTATTTCTGACGGTACTGTCCTTGCCTACTTGGATGATTTGATTTTACCCTCGGAGTCGGAAGAAGAAGGATTGAAGAAGCTGGTAAAAGTGTTCCAAAGAGCTGAAGAGTACGGTCTTTTATTTAACTGGAAGAAATGCCACTTCATGAAGAGGGAGATAGAATATTTAGGCAATATAATACGGAGTAATGAATTACGCCCGTCAAAAGAAAAGATTTCAGCCGTATCAAGATTTAAAACCCCTCATAACATCAAGTCTTTACAGTCTTTTTTAGGACTGTCTTATTATTTTAGAAAGTTCATCAAAAATTATTCTATAATTGCAAAACCACTTACCAATTTATTGAAGAAAGACGTTGAATTCAATTTTGGTGAAGAGTGCGAAATGGCTTTCAATGAATTGAAAAGAATATTGTGTAGTTCACCTGTGTTACGAATTTACGATCCAGAGCTAGCAACAGAACTACACACAGATGCTAGCGCAGAAGGCTATGGCGCCGTTCTGTTACAGAAAAGTCCTACAGATAATCAAATGCATCCAGTCTACTACATGAGCAAAAAAACGACACCCGCTGAAAGAAAGTATCACAGCTATTACTTGGAAATCTCTTGTTGAAGCTGTCAAGAAATTCCGTGTCTATCTACTAGGAATTCGTTTTAAAATCATAACAGATTGCTCTGCTCTTACTAAAACATTACAGAAGAAAGACTTACCTCCACGTGTTGCTCGATGGGCTCTGCTCCTAGAAGAGTATAATTATGAGATACAACACAGGTCAGGATCAAGACTTAAACATGCTGACGCATTAAGCCGAAATCCTGTCTGCTTGATACTTACCGAAGCTGCTGCCCGCTTGAAGAGAGCTCAAGACGACGACCCTCATATCAGTCTGTTAAAGAAAATGTTAGAAAAAGAACCCTATCAAGACTATATTATGGAAAGAGGAATATTATGCAAAGAGAAAGATGGTACGGGACTTGTTGTAGTTCCAAAGAAAATGCAGAACGAAGTAATAAGGAAGAAGCATGATTATGGACATTTTGGAGTTAGAAAAATAGAAGAGCTTGTGATCAGAGTATATTAGAATCTAAAGGAGAAGATTAGAAAAGTTATAGATAATTGTCTAGAACGTATTCTGATTGAACAGAAAAAAGGAAAGAAAGAAGGATTCTTACATCCATTAGACAAAGGTGATGTCCCGTTGTCGACGTATCATATTGATCATCTCGGTCCATTGACGTCTACTAATAAAAATTATAAGTACATTTTTACGGTAGTTGATGGCTTTACCAAATTTACTTGGATCTATCCTACGAAATCTTTGTCTACAGATGAAACGTTGGACAAACTGAGAGTGCAACAACAAACCTTTGGTTCCCCTCAAAGGATTATTTCCGATCGTAACGCCGTATTTACTTCAAAAGACTTTCAAGACTATTGTGAACAAGAAGGCATAACTCATTATACAATTACTACAGGACAACCCCGCGGAAACGGGCAAGTAAAAAGAATCCACCAAATCATAATAAGCGTTGTAAGTAAATTGAGCGCTGATGATCCTACGAAGTGGTATAAACAAGTTTCCAAAGTGCAACGCTGTCTGAATTGTACACGGCAAAGAAGTATTGGAATGACACCATTCGAGTTACTTTTTGGAACCAAAATGAAAGATGAGAATGAAGAAATTATGAAATTAATAGAAGAAGAAGAAGTTAAGAACTATAATGAGCAAAGGAATGAACTAAGATTAAAGGCAAAAGAGTCAATACAAAAGATCCAAGAAGAGAACGTTAAAAATTATAATAGAAAAAGAAAAAAGGCTACCGAATACAAAGTTGGCGGCTTGGTTGCTATTAAACGAACACAATTTACTCAAGGAAGTAAATTGTATCCTAAGTATCTAGGACCTTACGCAGTGACAGCCAAAAAGCATCATGAAAGGTACGCTGTAAGAAAAGTTGGTGAATGCGAAGGGCCCATCAACACAACAACCTCGGCTGATCTCATGAAGCCATGGGTCGATGAAGAAGTAGATGAATATTCATCTGAGTCAGATGAATGATCAGGACGGCCGTGTGGGAGAAAGTTTATTTTTAATCTGTTTTTATGTTAGTTTTTAGTCATGGCATGGCAACATTTTTGGGTAGTCTGTGGTTACGACGATAAACATTGTAAAGAGGCTAAGCAGTTTTATTAAAGATTTTGTGTTTAATTCGACCATTCTTTTCTTCGACGATCCCACACATATATATATATATATGTGTGTGTGTGTGTGTGTGGGATCGGGTATGGGTGGGAGCTGGGGGCGTTTTTTTTTTTGGGTGTCAATGAAACATGAATAACAAATATTCAAAATTCTGTCTGTTTGTTTATCTGTTTCAGCTAAACTTCGAAAAGGCTGAACCGTTTGTAATAAAATTTCACTAAAGGATATAGTGCAATTCGGGAAGTTTTCTAGGATATATTTTATCCAAAAAGTTTGGATAAAAATCCAAAAAAATTTAAATCAAAAAAAATTGAGAAATTTAAAAATGTATGAAATAAATGGTTTTTGTTAACGGTACACTAAACGATCCTACCGAAACGAGTCTAGAGCTGATCCCTAGATTCTTAATAAAATTACAAGTTGGGGAGAGTAAATGGGAATCTCATTAAACTGAGGATATTTTAATAATGATAGAAATTGTAGTCTGTGTAGTGGCGTCGTAAGAACATCCGTGAACCCATCCTATGAGTGTCGTAAGAGGTGACAGAGGAACCTGCAATTAGAGATGGGCAGCAGAATCTTCCTGTTAACAACCCCACATAAAATAATGTTTCTTGCCACAAGATCATCACCATCATTACAGCAATTCATAAGTTCATTACTAAACATAAGCCTCCCCCCAAGGAACGCCAAAATGCAAGGTCCTGAACCATCTGCATCCAATGATCCATCGGCTTCGGAGGGCCGCCCTACACTTCGCTTACCGGTACGAGCCTGCCACTCGACTTCCCCAACCTAGTTGTGTGCACTGTGCGTATTTGATTGACTTGTTACTTACTGCTTATCTCACCAATTCCAGTCACCAGCTGGTCTCTGTCCTACACGATTGCTATATTTGTATGGTTGTTAACAAGAAAATACTGCAGCCTATCTCCTAACTTTGTTACCATCTGTTTCCTCTTAGCACAACCGCGGAATATTATAAGGTAATGACTCTTATGTCACTATACAGCACGTATTGCTACTTAATTTATATTTTTAACAAGGCGGCTCTTTTTCAGATTCCAAACCTGGACTTGCTTGCTAAGGAACTCGATCGTTTATCATCGGTAAGTGTTATAGAAGATCAATTAGTATAAATATCAATATACATAACATGTGCTGCGTAATAATAGCGTAAGATAATCCATCACATTTTATTCTATGAGTGTCGTAAAAGATTGCTTTAGAAAACTCATTTTAAAAAAATAATTAATTTTTGGTTACTTTCAACTGCAATGTTTTTTAAAATATTTTCGCCTTGGATGCTTGTCTGCTAACACTGCGCGCAAATTTCTTAAAAAGGGGTTATAAATTTTTCTCTTCACGTATTATAATGTAGCATATTATTATGTGTAGCATAATCATAGGTCACCTATGAAATTGCCTTCCTGCAGTACTGGATATTTTAAGTCAAAATAAAAAAAAAATAAAAAAAAAGGTCGAGAAAAAAGTTTTTTTCGATATTGTTTGTATAAGATTGAAAAATAATAAATACTTGTTCCGTGCGGGATTAGAACCCCGCAAAGTATTTGTATTGCCTAAAAATAATTGTCATGGGTCTGAATGTTGGCCCTTGTGAAATTTATGTTTGTACATGAATTGCGCAAGGACAAACATGCCTCCACGATAAAGTAGAAAATCCTAGTGGGGGTGCGGACAACGTATAGATAATTAAAAATAATTGATATAATAAATTGCACAAGGACAAACACGCCTTTACGATACAGTAGAAAATTCTAGTGGGGGACGGGGCAACGTATAGATAATTAAAAATAATTGATATAATGAATTGCACAAGGACAAACATGCCTCCACGATACAGTAAAAAATTCTAGTGGGGGACGGGGCAACGTATAGATAGTCAACGATAATTGATGTAATGAATTGCACAAGGACAAATATGCCTCCACGATACAGTAGAAAATCCTAGTGGGGGACGGGGCAACGTATAGATAATTAAAAATAATTGATATAATGAATTGCACAAGTACAAACATGCCTCCACGATACTGTAGTAAATCCTAGTGGGGGAAGAGGCAACAAAAAATGAATAAAGATGAAACTGTTTGAATCTGGCTGAGATTGATATCAAAGTATATAGGATATTGACGAAAAAAAAAAGTTTAAGAAAAACCCTTTTCGACTATTTTACTTGCTTTTCTTTTCGCCAAAATGAGTGAATATAACAAAGAAATTCGATACGTTCTGAAGATTTATTAGAGAACAGGGAAAATTGAGACTCAAGCCTCGAAAAAAATTTTGTGATATTTATGGACCTAACGCGGTCTCAGTAAGAGTAGCACAAAGTTGGTTCAAGCGTTTTCAGTTCAGGAATTATGATTTCAAATATGCAGCTCGCTTTGGTCGTCCTCATACGGATAAAGTAGATGCCATTTTTGGAAGAGTGGATCGTCATATAAGTAGTTACGAACTAGCCGAGGAATTGAGGATTGACCACAAAACAATTTCGATTCCTTAAAAAAGTCTGGCTATACAAAAAAGCCTGATACTTGTACAAAAAAGACTGACTACTGGTAATGAAAAATTAATCACCTACAACAAGAAGAAGGGCAGTCAAGATCCACAGACTGTAGCAAAACCTGGATAAACACGCAACAAAGTAATGCTGTGTGAATGGTGGGATTAGAAGGGCATAGTTTATTATGGGCTTTTTCCGCCCGGTAAAACCATCGATTCGGATCTCTACTGCCAACAACTAATGAGTCTCAAGCAAAAAATTAAGAAAAAACCGGCGAAAGTTATCAACAGAAAAAGAGTGGTCTTTCATAATGATAACGCCAGATCACACACATATTTGGCCACTCAGCGAAAATTGTAAGAGCTTGGCTGGGATGTGTTAATTCGACCACATGTTCCTGATCTTACACTTAGATTTTCACCTGTGTAAGTTTCTTCTAAATTCTTTTGGAAGTGGTAGGTTAACATCAAGAGAGGACTGTCAAAACTACTTGTCGCATTTTTGAGCGCGACAAGTAGTTTTTACGAAGAAAATTTTTCGCCGTCTTTATAATTCTTCTTTAGTTAAGAATTCTAATTTCAAATAAGCTTTATTTTAAAAATATGAAATGGTTTCTTCAAAATTAGTCATTTGTTTATTGATTAACGTTATGTTTTCGTCGTATTTTAATCTTTTTAGTCATAAGTTAAAATTAAATTAATAATTATGGAATATAAGTACGTCTTGTCAGCAACGTGGAACCAGCGGCACACAGTCATCAATGTTTACGGAACGAATACTACAAACGAACGCAAGATCTGTTATTATTTGCTCGCTTCCGTTCTGAAAATTTTGACCAGAAATATGAACCCCATGGTTCTCCGAAAACTTTGGTCGACAATGAAGAATTAAAGGCGATTATAGAAGCTGATGATACTCAATCTACGGCTAAATTAGCAGCAGCTTTCGACATTAGTATCAAAACCATATTGGTTTACGCACGATTTCAAATTGACAAGTTAGAAAAGCTTTACAGATGGGTGCCCTACGAACTCAATGACCTCCAGTGTGAAGTATGCGTTGAGATGTGCCTTACTTAATGCTCAGTCGGCACACAAAAGAAAGGATTTTGAACCGCACTGTTGGTTGGTGTGGAAAGTTGGTTGAATCAAGGTTCAGCACCGGAACAATGTGCTAAACGAAAACTTAACCCTGAAAATGTAATGGTCACTGTTTAGTTGTCTAGCGCCGGTGTGATTTAAAACAGCTTCTTACAAAACGGGATGAACTTTACTGCAGATGTGTACTGTGAATAACTGAACACAATATTCGAGAAGCTTGCACGTCTTCAACCAGCTTCGGGCAATTGCTCGTCCCTGCTGCTCCTACACGACAACGTGCGTCCTCATACTGTACTACAGATGGTCTCCAAATCACCAGAACTGGGGTTGGAAGCTCTTCGTCATCCACCGTATTCACCAGACTTTGCGCCTACAGACTTTTCATTTCAAAATTTGCATAACTTTTTGGCGGAAAAAAATTCAATACACGAGAGGCAGTACAAAATGCCTTTGAAGAATTTTTTGCCTCCCGTCCAGCTGATTCCTTTGAAAAGGGTAAACTGCCATTGCGATGGCAAAGATGCATCAATTGCATGGGTGATTATTTGTATTTATAGAAATAAGAAATAAAGAAGAAAATTACAAATTTTTCTCATCACATACTTTCATAAAAAAACGACAATTTCGTAGGTACCCTAGGTAACCTAATATTTACATACGTTGACTTTTTTAATCCCCCAGTCTTCATAAGTTATATATCAAGTTAGAATATCAAAGTAAGACCAAATACAGCTACTTATGCTAGTACTCGTTTACTTAGTGTATTATTCAATTCAAACTTTGGCAATATCCGTTCAACTTAGTTGCGGACTATACTCCAATGTTCCGATAAGTCAGTCCTAATAAGAACAATACAAGTATATACTGACTGTATTAACAAAAGGTTCTTTATTAAACATTTTTACTTTTTAGAAATATCAAGACAAAGGCGTAGGAATTTCGTCACACTTAATTGATTTTATACCTAGGCCATACTTTCTTTATACCTAATTATACTTATGGTATCAACATCACTTAATCTAATGCTTAATTAAACATTTGGTTGTGCTCACTGACGTGAGTAATCTGTAAAATAATGACTGCATTTTTATTTTTAGTTAAAAAGACAGTAGTTCTTGCGTGCCTATAACCACGCATAAGTGTAACATTGCTCACCTAATGGTAGGATAATCTAAAACTCTGGCTCAATTAATAGCTCTCGATAATATGAAGAAGCTAACGCTGTAGTTGATACCTGTCAGGACAACATGCATAGAGCTCGCATGTAATCGTCGAGTTAGTTTTTTTTTATAGGAAAGGGGGCAAACGAGCATACGGTTCACCTGATGGTAAGTGATTACCGCCGCCAACGAACAACTGCAACACCAGGAGAATTGCAGATGCGTTGCTGGCCTTTTAAAAAGGAATAGGCTCTTTTCTTGAAGGTCCCTAAATCGTATCGGTCCGGAAAAATCTCGGGTGGTAGATGAAAAAAGTTGTGCGAGGAAGTGAAAGAAGAGAAAGAAACTTCTTTTAAATCGCTTAGTGGTGGACCGCCAGTCATCCAGATGGTACGGATGGTATCGCAAGTTTTGTCGCGATGTGCGATGGTGAAACCGAGCGAGTTAGTAGGCAGAGTCCAAGGAACAGCGAACAAGAGAGAATATGGATAGATAATTGTGAAAGAAATGATAGGTGGCTAGCCTTATTGCCTATACAATATCCAATAAGTTACCTTTTACATGCTACGCACACGGTTGGTGCGTTCTTTTTACCTTTATTAAGTCCTATAAATATTACTTCTCGGTTGCAGACAAACATGGGCATGATAGTAGCATATCATCATAAAAGGCAATTGATATCCGTCAGATTCATTAAGACGTAAAAGTCAGCTAAACAAAAAGCTTCTTATATCTTCTAAGAAAAGTTCTTTTTTTAATTTATTTTTATACGTAGTAGAGTCACGCTATGACTATATTATGGTTGTAGCATGAATTAGTCAGTTCGACTGGGGAAGGACCACGCTCTCACAGAATACCAGCGTAAAATAGCAGATTAATACTGCTGTGTTTCGTATGGTGAGTGTAAAAATCCGGAGATCCTTTTTGGAAACGAGGTATTCCGTATTAGTCCTCAATATAATTATATTTATTTAAGTGGGGTTTTCCACTGGGCCACGATGGCGCTTTATGGTAAATTTCACAACGACAAACAAAATTAGATTTGGATCCGCGTGTTATTTTAAAAATTAAGAAATACTCAATTGAATATATACTAGAACCTGAATATATAGGCGGATGACGGGCATCAGGATTTGCGGTTAGAATCTCCTAGCACTATAATCGTCTATCCTCGGTCCTGGAAAGAACCAGTAAGGAACCCAGCGGGACTTTTTTAAACATAGTTTGTACAATTTTTGTAATGATTTTTATGGAACCGGCGTGGTGGCAATCACCTCATTCACAGAGGTTATTTACATTTAGATATTATTATAACCCTTTCTGTATTTATCTTTAATAAAACATTTTAACTTGTTGTTATAACAAATTTTGTATATTTTCTGGAATTTCGTTGTAAAAGCGTATTCATAATTCTGTGGAGTCTACTGACTAGTATTACGAGCTTACGTTTGTTCTTAGTATTTATAGTATGAAAATTTTTACTCTCATGAAAACTATGTTTATATTTTTATGTACATACATTACATGTTCATAAATATAATGCAATGCGAAATTTAATATGTTTATTTTCTTTAAGGATCTCTTCGCAATATAGGTTATAAATCGCTCGTACGGCTCCTATTTGCAAAACAAATATGACTTCAATGTCAGTTGCATTACCCATAGAAAAATTCCGTAAGATGCCAAGCTATGAAAGAAATAAAATAAACCATTTTGACTGTCTTAGCATTGGTGAGACTTCTAATCTTTCTTACGGCTTATGCTGCAGAACTAAATCTGCGCGCTAATTTAGATATATGGGATTATTTTGTTTTTATATAATTTATTATATTGGATACACTAATACCGAGGAAAACAGTGGTACCCACAAGTCTCAAAACTTCCCCATTTAAAAGCACATTGGTATTCGAATTTTTTTACATTAGGTATTGTAAATGTGATACATGATTAAAACTACTTTTACGGATTTTATCGCGTTTATTTTTACATCAGATTTGATAGACCACAAATCCGTCGCGAAAGAACACCGATTCCTACCAAGATGATACGTCCCGAGGCTATTGAAATTAAAGATAACATCACTTAATTCTCAATAGAGAAGGAGGCTGGGTACTACCACCTGAGGTCTTGGGATACTAGTAATCAATAAAATTAACTAAACCCAAGCAGTACCACCTGCTTCATGAAATAAGACCTGAGGACATAGTCAGTATCACTTTGCATAGAATCGGACCATATACAATAATTAAAAAAGCTGAAGGTACTCCGGGTTTAACAATGACATCGGGACGTCAGTCATCTCAGTCCCCCGTGACCATGGGTGCTCGAAAGCGCCCGAAACGTCGGGAATTAAAAATAAAAGTAAATAAAAAAAAATAAAAAAATTAAAAAAATAAACGCGGTAAAATCCGTAAAAGTAGTTTTAATCATGTATAGTGTTCGCGTAAATATAAGAAATCATAATGTAATACATTTCAACCAATGTAATAATTTCAATAGAGCATTATTTACAAAGTCAAAGTTACAGTACATTGTCTAAGTTTACTGACTGCCATTTGAGTTTGAAAATTAAAGAGCTATCATCAGCAAGTAATCGTGATTGTTCCATGCAATATAAGGCAAGTCATTGATATATATTAAGAACAGGAGTAGGCCAAGAAGCGAGACCTAAAGAACGCTCATTGATACTACTGATCCGGAGGAATCTTCACCATTGATAAAGACTTAACAATAAGTCTGCTTAGATCTCAATATTCATTTTATAACAAAAATTTACGTACCTTACAATTAATTGTATACATCAATTATTTTGTAACTCAGTATTTAAAAATAATATAAATCAATAAGTTGTCACTGCATAACAGTAATTTCATATGTTAATCTTTGTAATTAAACATATTAAAAACACGTTATTTTACTCTTTTTCAGCACTCCAACGATTACGACGTCGAAAAGGTAAACATTTCATATTTAGATACATACAATCTATAATAATAATAATAATGTCCTCCAGACCGAATTCCGGCCACGGCGGCCTGCCTATATTTATATTTGAGTGATTCCCAAGCATATAGATGAAATGATTTCGTTGTAATTTCAACTATAGTGATTTTTAGAGGTGTTTTCGCAAATAATTATGATCGAGTCAAAATTATACAATCATGTTTTTGAGCAATCAAATTCAAGATAAAGACACGAATTTACCTATATCAAAATCCCACTTTCGTTAGCGGTGTCATAGTCCTACACTATTCGATGAAAGGAGGTACATTTATTCACGGTGTCGCCTTAAAACTGACATTTAACTTGTTACGGTAGAATAAGCAGTCTTTGCTAATTGTCTTTAATCTGAATAACACCACAATAATAGATTCTACCCAGGATAAACCGAGGCGGCGGTAGTTGAAAATAAAATTGTGATACGGCTTTTTAAACAAAACGCAAAAGAATTTTTTGTTCGTTTGAGAGGGTCTTATTTTTCAAACCTTAAACTAAATAAAATATTGTTGTCTTTGACTTTAACACCATCTATTGGTAAGGTATTACTGCATTCAATGGACACCTGAAAAAACTTTAAGCAAATAAAAAAAATATTGTTATAATTAAGAAATAAGATAGTATGTCTTACAGTTAATAACATAAACAAAATCAAGGCCAACATATTTATTGTGTGTGAGGGTCACATACTTAGGTATTAATTTATTACATATATTATAATATTTATTACATACATTTGAGTATGGTGAATAAGACTGTAATTAAACTTACTATATAAATAGTAAGTTCAATTACAATCTTCAGTTCAGTCACCACACTCAAAATATACCTGTTTTTACTATCTTACTATAACTAATATTTTGATAATATAGTTGCTAGCTAGAGATAGTCTATGAAAATCTGAAAAAAAATTTCTAATTTTTCTTTCATCTTTTTACCAAGCCTTCTAAAATAAATAATCTTTTGTTTCGTCTCGTCTCTTTTGTTTCGAATCGTATGTAATAAATATTTTTTTATTATAACACTTTGTGTCCATATTCTTACATTGTCATCCGAATCTGAGCTATGTTCAAAATTTAAATTTTCTAGCCCATCGGGAAGTTATAAATAACCTATATATTACATTTAATATTTTGTTATCAGTATGAATATCCATACCAATACGGCAGGAAAAACCACAAGCGTAAACCCGTAAGTAATATTAAATAATTAATTCTATTTAAAGTAAGAGCTATGATCGAACACACAGTTCACGTAATTAGTGAACGAATGCCCGCAAACAACTACATCTATTCTTGCTTAAGAATCAAATCACGTATTCCGTGTCACCCCTGAGGACCAACATTGAACATCTGAATACCGGTTCTTTCACTGTTATGTAATGGACATTTTTACTTACTGGTCTGTATAAGGACGATTAAGGAACACACAGTTTACTTTATAGTGAATGGATGCTGTAGCCCAAAAACACTTACATCCATACTTCCTTAAGAATCAATTTACATATTCCATGTCACCCCTGAGGACTGAGATTGAACATCTGAATACCAGTACTTTTACTGTATTGTTTACTGGTTACATTTTGTAATGTTCCAGGCTAGTTTACTGGTCTGTATAAGGACGGTTAAGGAGCACACAGTTCACATTATGGTGAATGGATGTTATAGCCCAAAAACACCTACATCTATCCTCGCTTAAGAATTAAATTGCAGATTCCTCGTCATCCCTGAGGACTAATATTGAACATCTGAATACCAGTACTGTTACTGTTATGTTTACTGTTAACATTTTTTGAACTTTCCGGAGCGGTTTACTGGTCTGTATAAGGACGATTAAGGAGCACACAGTTCACATTATGGTGAATGGATGCTGTAACCCAAAAACACCTACATCTATCCTCGCTTAAGAATCAATTTGCATATTCTTTGTCACCCTTCAGGACTAAGAGTGAACATCTGAATACCAGTACTGTTACTGTTATATTTATTGTTAACATTTTTTAAACTTTCCGGACCGGGTTTACTGGTCTGTATAAGGACGATTAAGGAGCACACAGTTCACATTATGGTGAATGGATGCTGTAGCCCGAAAACACCTACATCTATCCTCGCTTAAGAATCAATTTGCATATTCTTTGTCACCCTTCAGGACTAAGATTGAACATCTGAATACCAGTACTGTTACTGTTATGTTTACTGTTAACATTTTTTAACGTTCCGGACTGGTTTACTGGTCTGTAAAGGACCATTACGGAGCATGTAGTTCACGTTATGGTGAATGAATGCTTAACCCAGAGACGGCTACATTTGTCCATAGAGTCCATAGCCAACTAAAACTAAACATCAAGATACCAGTAAAAGTGTCTCCGCTTCTCGTAATTTATAAATTTAACTAAACAGCACATATTGATAACACTGATATTCTTTAAAGCTTGGTCCTTTACCGGTGATCAAATCAACCTTCCCACAGTGATGGTACGACTGTAGCGTGGCTATACCATGTAAAAGCTTATCTTACTTTTTATTATAATAATAGCCGCCGGTCCGATTTTTTCATAATACATATTTAGTTTTTACAACGTAACCGTGTTATTACATTTTAAAAATATCCACTACCCCACGATTCGTGGGTATCGTACGAGAAAATTTCGGAAATCGAGGAAGTGACACAAAATTACTATTTAAAAATGTATTTATTGCTTTTCGAAGTATTCTCCGCGAAATTTGTCACATTTTCCATACGATGGAACCAATCATTGAAGCAACCATTCCATTCGGAAGTTGGGGTCTCCAAAATGGCCGTTTTGTAGGCGTCCACAGCTTCTTCGGGTGATGAAAATCTCTGTCCACGCAATTTATTCTTTATTTTAGGGAAAGTATAGAAATCATTAGGGCTTAGGTCGGGGCTGTACGGCGGATGGTCTAATAATTCTATGTTTTCTTGCTCTAAAAACTCTTTTGTTCTTTGTGCGGTGTGAGAACTTGCATTGTCGTGATGGAGGATGATGCGGCGGTTGCAGTTCTCTTTACGGAGTTCAGAAACGACCTGTGGCAAACAAATGCTAGTATACCATTCTGCATTAACCGTTCTTTGTCCCTCAAGAGGAATAATCGTAACATGGCCGGTTTTGGAGACAAACGTAGCCACCATTTTTTTTTGCAACACTCCGTGAACGAACAATTTTTGTTGGCTTTAATTTATTTTCGAACACCCAAACTCGTGACTGGCTTTTTGTTTCGGGTTTGTACGCATATGATTCGTCACCTGATACGATGTTGTATACAGCATTTCAGGATCCTGCGTGGAATCTTTCGAGAGTTCTGACGTATTAAGTAACGTGAGCCGCTTTTTGCTCTTCACAGAGCGAATGCGGTATCCATCGGGAAAACAACTTTTTTACACCTAATTGTACATGCAAGATTATTTGTATTTGACTAATGCCAATGTCTAAAGTTGCCTGAATTTCACGGTATGTCACATGTCGATCTTCCTCAATCAGCTTACGCACAGCATCAACGTTTTCTTGGGTGACTGCAGTTTTTGGACGACCTTGACGGGGATCATCACTGAGCTTGACACGTCCACGTTGAAATTCAGCAAACCAGCGATAAATTGTGGTTTTGGATGGAGCTTCATCACCAAATGCAGAAACCATCCGGTCAACACACTGTTTTTGTGTTAAACCACTTCGAAAGTCATAATAAATCATCGCTCTTGAAGTAAGAGGCGGCAAAGAGAAATGAAATGTCTATATAATATATGCCGCAGTGTCTACCTAATAATAACTGAAAATGAAACACTGCGGTTGCCAACCTACCTATCTAGCGTCGAAACTATGGCATAGCTATGAAGCAATCTATGGCGTGTATAATCTTAATATTTATAAATTACGTGTCACGTTGTTTGTCCGCGATGGACTCCTAAACTACATAACCGATTTTAAACAAATTTGCACACCGTGTGCAGTTTGGTCCAACTTGAGTAATAGGATAGTTTTTTTGCCCACAATTTTTTTTGCGAATTTAAGGATTTTTAATAGGACATTGTAGTCGAATGCTTTATATATATATATATATATATATATATATATATATATATATATATATATATATATATATATATATATATATATATATATATATATATATAAAGCATAAATATAAAGCAAGTCAACCGATGTCAGTCGCATAAAATCCACAAAAAACACAAAGTGACGTCACTGGCGTATGGGCCACTGTACCTGAATTTGTCAATTGTTGCCTAAATCCACTGATATGACCTTTTGTCTTCGAAGGGTCAAAGAAACTGTATATCTCGATTGTCGACAAGAACGTTTCGAAGGACTATAGAAAATTTTTATCTCGAATGTCTACGAGAACGGCTCGAAGGAGCAAAGAAATTGTAGCCTAGACACACATTTTACAAGATGAGTGCAAAATGAGATGTAAGGGAAAGTTATTGTACAAAACAATCCCAATGAAAGTCGTTCTAACATTAATTTTATTGTAAAGGAATAATTCCTTCTATAATTATATAATTACTATAAAATGTATAAGTAGAAGCACGGAAATTATACCTGTGTGAGTAATTAACGAATAAAATTGTTTTTAAGTGACATAAGTTAATGAGTAATGCATGTTATATTAACTTTTATGCGGTAGCCCGTACAAGAATATTCTTTCATATACCCTACAACAGCTTTTACCTATATAAAATAGATAGACTCTAATGCGGCTTAGTCTCATATCATGCTTTTTACAGAAAGACTTCAAAGATTACCGCTATAACACCAAAACATGACAATGATGTAAACTTCAGCAACGCAGTATATTAGCGGCGCAGTGGATAATTTCCTCAAGTTTTACAATGATTGACATGAAATTAAATGCAACATTTATTGTATAACAAGCAATCTTAAAAAATAAAAAAAAACTTTGAAGCAAAATTTCGTTTTATTTATTT